ATAATGTGGGTCTAGCCCAAAATCCCATGTTTATAGACCAGCTATCTGCATTTTCTGCACTGCCCCAGGGCTGATTGGCTACCAAAGTGCTGTACGAAGGCGTGATGCTGGGGCTAAGAGGGACATTCACATCTTCTCCCTCTCTGTCACCCCCATGCAACGCCCAGTGTGCACAGGGAGGTTTGGGGGAGCTCTGAACCCATGGCAGGAGGTTGTGTCAAGGGCGTCTCCTCACCTGTCCTCCCACCCCAACACCCACTCTTTGGACGCAGTAGGTGCAGAGGTGGTACCTGTGAGTTCTCTGGACATGATGGGGTCCTGCGTGCCCCACTCCTGCATGTCCTAGGGGATGTCAGCTGGTGCAACCACCCCATGTGCACGTGTCTGCGCACCCCAAGCCGTCACCTGGGCCTGCCGGTATGGGGGTGACCCACGTCCCCAGCATGCTCACAGGGTGCCATAGTCTCTGATGGCTCCTTTGGGCAGCAGGAGTCCCACGGGCTGGCTGCCCAAATCTGTCACAGATCCTGGGTGGGCTCAGTCTCTTCTGTGAAACTGTCAGGAGAGGTTTTCTCCTCTGTTCCCAAAGAGAGGAGGAGAGCAAACAGGGCTGGTTTAAGTGAGAGATGCTACATTGCTAATTCTCTGGGGATGAAAGTTAATTTTTAGCTCTAAGTGTTTTGGCCCAGGAAGGAATGGGTCAGGACATCCTGGGTCTTTCTGGGACATTTCATCCATCCAGATTGCAATTGTATCACCATTATCTCCCACACCAAAACCAAGCACATTGGCAGGAGATTTCTGGCTCTGTTTCAGCCGGAGGGCAAGTTGTGAGTACTTCCATTCAGCCAAAACCCAGAGATCGTGATGCGAGTACCCTAACCGGGGAGTCTCACTCGGCAGGGAAATCCAGTGAGCGGGATTACTCCTGTACCCAAAGATATGCTCGCCCTGGCCAGCAAAGGCTCAAAGTGCAGGTGCAGCTGAAACAGGTAAATCCCACAAATTTTTGTGCCTTCTTTGTGACTTGGGGCTGCGAAAGGGAAATGCCACAGGGCTGGGTTGCATGGTCTGATGTGCCACCCTCAGCTGCATGGCTCTTGTCCCCTGCTCCCTGGCACAATACAGCCATATCTCCAAGCACCAGCTTGGAAACCCACTTCTTCACCTTGACTCCATCATAGCTGGGACTTCACTGTAAACAGACCCCCTATGAGCCATAGAGTAGCAATAAAAACCTCTGTACTGGAGCTGAGGGGCTTGGAGCAGTCAGGGACAAGTTAAACTGTCCCTGTGGGAAGGGGAACCCGGTCTTTGTGGCCCGCACCAGCGCAGGCTGCTCTGCCATCACACCTCCTCCAAACCCACTTTTGCCTGCTGAGTCAAAAGAAAAGAGGGAAAACCACCAGCCTGGTAAAAATGAAAGGCTGGGTGTGCCACCACCGCTCTCAGCCAGCTGGCACCCGTGGTGCGATGGGGCTCCCCCCATGGGCGTCCCCTCTCCCCTTGTCTGTGTCTTCCTGTGTGCGCTGTCCTGCCTATTTTCACCCCTGCTCTGCTCTGCCCACGACTCACCGCAGAAACCAAGAAAAAAGAAGACAACAAACAGTTCAGGGCTGGACTAGAAAGAAAGTAGTTATTCATCTCCTCTGGCTTATGTTTCACACTGTTTAGTCCTGACGCAATCAGTATTAAGCCAGGTATTTTCCACAGGTATGAAGGACTTTATTGCCAATGGTGTCAAAGCCCTCCCCAGTGGAATAAAAGTGTGTGACAAACCACATGGTCGACGCTTTATTTTCCTGTTGTTCCCCCTGGGGAGCTGCCTCCCTCCAGCTCCGGGCAGGCAGCAAGGACCAGTCTGCAGCGAGGTTTCCTTAGCAGCAGCATAGGTCTTCCTCGCCTGCTTTCTGTGCCGGCTACGCTGCAGGGCTATCTGGGAAAAATTAAGCCAAAGGCAAACGCTGCCTGAAAACTGAGACTGTTACTCCCCTATGGGACCTGTGCAGCCAGAGACACCTCAAGGGAGAGGGAAAGTGTCTCAGATACTGAATAAACTGCATAAAGCATCAGAGAAGATACTTAGTGCTGGAAATACTGCGCAGCACCAGGTTGGTCTTATCCACCTTCTCCGTCTCTTTGCCTTTAAAGAAGCAGAGAAGTTACACTACCCTGAGCCCTACTTTCCCCCAGCTCTCCCCATGGCTCTCTGCAGGTTGGGACAGCGGTTCCCCCTTCACCCCTCAGCCTTGGCCACTCCAAGGCAGGTGAACATCGCCCTTGCAGTGCTATGGGTGCCTGGCTCTCCTTCTCTTTGCTCCCATTTGCCCACCAAACCACATGTATTCTCATCCCACCCCACCAAAACACCTTTCTTCTTTCCTCCTTGGTTATTGCGTTGCCCGTCAAAGTCTCTTTTATAGCAAGGAAGGTGTACAGCAGCAAGCTGACTCCCTGTAATGGATGCCCTCTTGACCCTGAAAATGCCCCACAGCTGGCAAAATTAAGAAAAAAATGCAATAATTAAGAAGCAAAAGAAAATCAGAATAAGAGAAAGAACCATCAACATGGATGAACACCCAACAAGCGAAAGCTGACCTTCCTCAATGGGGCATAAATTTGCGGGAGGGGGAGAGGGGGGAAGAAAGAGAGGAACGGAAAACATTTGAAAAATTCAGAGATTTTCATTGTTTTTTTAAATTGCACTCATTGTTCTCAGGAGCAGGCGGTGCAGGGTCCTCCACCTCCTGCCATGGCAGTGGGGCAGGGGGTCATGGTGTGGGGCTGCCCATGGTTGTGGGGCTGCCCGTGGCAGGGGGCTGCTGGCGGCGGGGGCCAGGAAGGCACCGGGCAGGGGACAGGAGGGGCCATG